TATATATATATTTAACCTTACAAATTTAAGTGATTGGTAAACGGGTGTCCATATAACAATCCGCTTAATACTTAAATGGTGATGTTTTGGCCCAGCCCAAAAATAAAAATTGTCTCTAATATTATCGAATGCTGTGTCTTACAGTTACAGTGAGCTATTGTTCTTGACCATTAAAAAGCTGCATCTGGTTAACCAAACTTAAATAAAAGGAAAAAGTGTCGTTGTAGGATATTGGATGTGCAATACGCTAACAAAAATGTGTGAGAGATGGCGCTGCTTAAACGTTGGTTTGCCATTACCACTGCCAATCTGTCGCTGCCAACCATCTTTTTGGCTGTTCATCATTTAATGTATTAAAAATCAAATTTGAATTCATGTCAGTTAATTCTCTCTCTAAAATTATTTTTTAATTCAAGTAATTTTTTATTGAATAAAGAGTTGTATCATCAACTTATCTTAAATAAAAAATATCTAAAAATCAATTGAAAAATATTTTAAAAATACACGCTATATTTTACTTGTTTTCCCAGACATTACCTCGCATGTTTGATTTAATATCCTCATACGTTTTATTTTATTAAGTATGCAATGATACATTACTTCTCTTTCAACCATTACACCAGACCAATCCTTCCAACATTGGGTCTACTATGATAAAAAAAATTTAATATAAAATAGTTTTATACGGATAAGCAGTTTTAATGAATTATTTCAAAGATCATAAATATATCGTATATGAAAATTAATTGAATAATAGTTTAAAACAAATTTTTAGTGTATAATTTGTTCATGGTTTTAAATATTTTTCTATTTTAAGCTACATTATCTTAGATTTTAATATGATTAGCTTAATGTTTTGTTCATGATTTCTATGTGTAATCGTGAATTATGAATGATTATTTTTATTTAATTAATAATTATTTTTTGCAATTAACAGTATGTGATAATTAAATTAAAATTTTAAATGAATGTAGTATAAATATAATTACTAGTAAATAGAAATCTTAAAACACATCTATTAGACTCATCGTCTTAAAACACTTGTGTTTATTATGTTGTAGTATTGCTTGATTAAGAGTTTAAGTTTACAGTTTAGTAATAAATTATTATTATTATTATTATTATATTTATATTTAAGTACTGTTTATATATTAATCTTAGATAATAATATTTATATTTTTCAATGTGACTAATTGAACTATAAAGTGTATTAATCTATCGCATTGTTACAATGTCATACAATTATTATTTATTATCGAAAGTTATATAAATAATAATATATAATTTATTAGACAGAATATATTTTAAAAATATATTTTTAATTTTGAAAATTAAAAATTTAGAATTTTTCTAACTTTTTTTTTTTTTTTCAATTTTAAATTATGCGTGTTCTTATTCAACTCTCGTTTATTTTCTTATTCATTTTCTTTAAAAACTATTACATAAAAAATTGTAAAACAATTTTTAAAAACTCAAATTTATTAAACATAATCAAACACGCCCCTAACAACTATTAAAATATTTTATTTTAATTAAATATATGAGGGTAGATTAAAAATGAGTTTTTAATTAAAATATATTTATATTTTCTGTTATATTTCAAAAGTTATTCTAACAAATAACAATTAAACTTTTTAGGAATTTTTATCTCCATAAAATTACCTTTTTGGAAATAGATATTTTGTTGAATAATGCTGGTGAAACTTTGCTCTTAGATGGCTAAAAGATCATGAATATAAAAAGAAAAATTAACAAATGTAGTTATATCCTGATTTTTAAACAATTATTGTCCGATTTCAGATTATTTATTTATTAATTCCCATATGAGTGTCCTTAAAATTCCATAAAATAAGAACCTTTTCTTGAATTTCTGTTAGGGATCCTATGTGAACTATTCCTAGGATTAAAATATAATATATAAATAGAAAATAAATCATAGAACATTAATGGATATAATTATGTTTTTATAGTAAAGATGCATGAAAGATAATGTAATTAATGATTAAGAGATTAAAAATCAAATATAAAATAAAATATTAAAACATTATTTATATCAATTAATTATTATAATTTCTATTATTTAAACATTATTTAAATTAAAATTCCATAAAATAAAAATCTCATCTTGAATTTCTATTAGAGATGTTATGTTAACTATATATTATTATGATTAAAATAAAATATACAAATGAGGAGTAAATCTTAAAATATTAATTGATATAGTTATATATTTTTTTTTTACAAAAATGTATTAAAGATCATATAATTGATGGTTAAGTGATTAAAAATCATGTATAAAATAAAATAGTAAGACATTAATTGTGTCAATTAATCACTTATATATCAAATTCATATTTGGATTTTTTTAAATATGTCATTATAAATAAATATTTATATATTTTTTAATTTTTATATTATATATTAAAATAAAATAATAAATTATTAAATATTTTAAAATTATATATATATA